TGGGGATATTTTAAAAAGAAAATATTTTCATTATCAGAAATCAAAGAAACTTGGAAAGAGAATTGTGATATGTCCAAAACTGAGACAGTGAAATTCATCTCTAAGTTATTGTAGAGTACATACAAGTACCACTCCTCACTGAACAGTGCATTTTATAGCATGGAGGTTATACCAGTGTCATGACTTAAAGACTGTTTACAACGGGATCATTTTGAGAGACAAGGTGTAGGGGAAGGGGACATACAAAGAATTAAGATGTGTTATGTACGTGTACCAGCTCCTCACAGCAACTATAATCAATATGTACTGCAAACATGTACTAATAATTTTTTTAATTTTAAATAAGATCATTTTAAGTTTATTTTAATCATTAGAGAATTTAATTGTTAGCAAAAGTACGAATTTGTCTACAGAGAAATGACACTTAATATTTGACTGTTTCCTATGTGTTAGGCACTACACTGAAGTACTTCTTACAAGATTGATATTTATCTCCCATAATAATCCTGTATATGAGGAGACTGCTCTTGGGTGTGTTAGCTTTCATTGCTGTGAGAAAAGTAGCTGACATACACAATTTAAAAGGAGGAAAGCTTTCTTCTGGCTCATGGTTTCAGAAATTGCACTTTATAGTTGATTGCCTCTGTTGCTGTGTGCCTGAGGTGGAGTAGAGCATCGTGGCTTAGAGGCGTGCAGAGGAAAGTGTGAGCTTTATGGCCGCCAGGAAGCAGGAGGAGAAGAGCCAGAGAAGGAGGAGCGGGGGACAAAAAGTACATACGGCTTTGAAGCCACTCTCCAGGGGCCTGCTGCTTTCAATAAGTTCCCACCTCCTACTAAGTCCATTGAGCCATGAACGCAATGGCTCATGCGCTGCTGAAGTCAAAACCTTCACCTTCGCAGAGCCCCAGCTCTGAGCACTGCTGCAGTGACGACCAAGGCTGTAGCACACGAGCCAGCCTCTACCATGATGAGAGGATAGGCCAGTCTGCATGTGCATCTGGGTTTAGAGCCAAATCCCTGGCCTCTCCAAGGAAAAGTCATTGTGGTGGTTTGGGTGTGAGATCATCTGTCAGTGTCTAGATGCTGTTACCCTTTAGCACTAATCTATTAAGTACTGGTTGACTGATGTACATCTGAAGCTGGGTGTGATGGCTCAGGTCTGTAATCCCAGCACTGGGTGGCTGAGACAGGAGCCTAGCTTGGGCAGTTTCATGACTTAGCAAGACCCTGCCTTAAAATTAAAAAAGTAAAAAGGACTAAGGAGGGCCGGGGAGATGGCTCAGTGGAATAAGCGCTTCCCTGGCAAGCGCAAGGGCCTGAGTTCAATGCCCAGTTCCACAAAAAAAAAAAAAAAAAAAGGACTAAGGATGTAGCTAGTATGAAGGCCTTGACTTCAATCCCCAGTACCTCACACACAGATACATACACAGAGTACATCTGAATTCTCTTTCTTATTCCTTACATTTAGGCATCAAAAAACATGATAGGAGTAAAACAGAAACAATGAATAAGTCTCTACATATCTCCAATTGCAGTGTAGCTGGTGACTATTTAGGTAAGTTGTTATATGAATACTTTTATCAATGATTCTGTTTTTTAACTGTTCAAATTCCTGGAACCATAGCTCAATCAAGGTCTGAGCAGGTCAGAACTCTTCATTACCTGGCCTTTGTTCCTTTATGTTTTAGGCTTGCTCTTTCTGACTGCAAACCCACTTTCTTCATGACTGCTATGGCTTCTTGTCTGCAGCAGCTGACCATCAAAGACAGGGGCTTCATCTTCCACTGTGAAAATTCTTGGGGAAAGATTCTCTGGGTCTGGGTCTTGGGTTTCTCCTTTAAGCCGGTCTGTTGTCAGGCTGCTCCTGCGCCATGGCGGAACCAGTTCAGACTGTGCAGTCTGACTGCAGGGGCTAGGCAGCAGAGCTGGGCACAGCGGCAGGTGTTGGTGAGTCTGCTGTGCTCTCAGAGTCTGGGCTTCCACAGAAAGCTTTCCATTGCTGTTCATGTCTCCTGAAGATTTGGACCGGATCACAGAGGAAAGTGATACCTGTGTTAGAGGGAAAAGGAAAACACCTGAGGCTGCAGTGAGGAAGAGGAAGATGCTTTCATCAGGCAGTGATGGCAGCAGTGCCAGTGACACGGAGCCAGACGAGACAGCTGGTGAGTTGTGTACTGTGCAAAACTAGTTCTGCGGGAAGCCTGTGAAGTTCTTGCAGGCCATGAATGTATGCAAAGCGCTGTGCTGACGCTTTGGGGTAAGCAGACTTGAGGCATGCTTAGAACAGTTCAATTCAGCAGTGGCATTTGGGGAGAAACTTCTTTTAGGTAGAAATCTTTAAGCCATGCCTTCAAAAATGAATAGCATTAAAACAAACTAAAGAATAGAATTGCATTTCTGAGTCAGAACGGTATGAGCAGTGGACACGTGCATGTGGACTCACAAACGCTTGGTTAGTGGGGCTTCCTAGGGAAAAGGCTTCAAAAGAGTCTAAAGACTCAGGTGGGCACAGTGTGAAGTGTCTCAGACCCTCCAAGGGTAGACTTTTTTTTATAGGGAATATAAACTCAGGAAGTAGTTTCAGTTGAAAGTGATAGGAAACATGTATTTTATTACTTGTTTTCAGACACATTCAGAAATTAGGACCAAAGGAAAACACAGTGACATCAATAGAGCATTGTAATGTGTTAATTAGAAATTAAATGAATAAATCCATAAATTTATACCCAATCAGATACTGTATTATAAATTTTAACAAATATTTGGAATGTATGATGTATATTACATACCAGACACTGTGGATACAGTGATGAACACAGCTCCTGTCCTGATCAAGCTTAAATTCTAGTGAGGGGATACACGTGGTAATCATGTGATGCATGAAGTGCCCTGATGGGAGAGCTGCAAAGAGGAGGATGTCCAGTTAAGAGATGGAAGATGACTGTGGCGTTGGAGGCGGGATGTTGTTTAGGCACAGTGGTCGGAGAAGACATCCCTTCAGATGATATTTGACGTTGGGAACCATATGGAGATACGGAGAAGAGTGTTCCATGGTGAGAACGGCATACACAAAGGTTCTGAGGCAGGAGTGCTTTGTGTGGAGGAGTAGTGAGGCCATGGTGCCTGAACCTGAGTAAGGGATGGAAAAGCTGGTAAAAGATGAAATTAGAGTACAAACAAGATTGGGTTGGACCTGAGAGGTCACTGGAATTATTTGGAAAAGAATGTACCTAATCTCACTTGAAATTTTAAAGGATCACTAATGCTAGTAGATTGAAGGTAGTCAGCTAATTTGAACAAGGGCAAAGGTGGTGGTACCAGGTACCAGGTACCAGTGCTCCAAGTGAGGAGCGGTGATAACTGAGAGACAAATCTGGGTTGGGAAAGTTGGAAGCAGTAGCATGTAGATTGTGTTTGAGGTCATGAGGCTGAATGAGATGGAGGCTGCTCACAGAAGCACTGGAGATAGGGAAGAGGTCTTCATGCTAAGCTCTCAACACGAATCTATGAGGTCAGAAAAAGTTAGGAACCTTTAGCAAAAGAGGTTCTAAAAGAATAGTTAAAAATGCAGAACCAAAAAAGAAAGTGTATCCAGAGGCCACATGGAAATTATTAAAAAGAGAAGTTATTTATAGTCTCCTATGTACTTGAGATTTGGCCAGTTGTCATGGAGGGTCTGTAGTAAACTGGATAGATGTGAAGGACCAGGTGAGTGAAGTTTAAGGGGATAGGAGGCCTTGCAGGTGAGATAGCTGGCCAAGGAGCTTCACAAAGGGTCACAGAGAAGGCAGGCTTTGGGAAGAGGCTTTATGGCTGTTTTCTCTGATTTGTAAGTTAATGAAAATGATCTGCCTAAGAGGAGTAGAAATGGCACCAGAGCTTGAAAAAAATAGAAAATTTGAAGTGAAGAAAGGTGTTATTTGATTTTTTTTTTACATAAACCAATATTGGAAGGACCTCCAGTGCTCCAGAAAAGGGGAAGGAACCTGGAAGGATACTAGCATTAAAGCATGCTCCTCATATGTGAAAGCTTACTCAGGAACTTGGTAAAGCAGACCCCTAGGCCTCCCTTCGTAATGCCTTTCCACAGGACAGGTGTAGAGCCTAGGAGTCTGGCTTCCTAACCAAAGCCTGACCAGACTCAGACTGTGCATGTCATTCTGAGAAATGCTGATTCAAGAGGAGAACCAAAAGGGAGGAGACAGGAGAAAAAAGTCTAATAGAGTATGAGCTTGCATGAGTGCTTCCTAATTTAAGGCTACTTCATACAGAATAAAACAATAAAAGGTATAGTAATCAAAATAATTCCTTGGCAGCTGAAGTGTTTTTTCAGGGGTAATGATTATAGTCCTGTACATTGTCAGTGCAACTATTTGATGTAGAAAGAGCAGAATAGTCCGTAAGCAGCACTAGAATTGTGAGTTATAGCTCTACTTTAGCAAATAAAGTTTACCATTGCCCCTTTGCTCTTAAATATTCAAGTAGATATTTCTTCAAAAATAGTATATAAATGGTCAAGAAGCATCTGAACAGTACTCAGCATCGTTAACCATTACAGAAATGTAGGTATCAAAGCCATAGTGAGATATCACCTCATACCCAGTAGCTACTTTTTTTATTAGTGTATGTTTGTGACACATATTTACATTTGTTTCAGGTGTCCTTACATATGTAGATTAGTAAGATTATTTTCAGTCCTCTTCTCCCACCTTCCCATCTCCTTTTCTTATCTACAAAGTGTCTGCCTTCGTGTATCCTGTCTCATCCTTATTTTATTCTTTTTTTTAAAATTTTTTAAATTTTTTTCCATGATTTTCTTGAGAAACAAATAGCAATGAGACAGTTTCTTTTTCTTTTTCTTTTCTTTTTTTTTTTCTTTTCTTTTTGGCGGAACCAGGGATTGAATTCAGGCCCTTGCACTTGCCACAGAAGCATTTATTCCACTGAGCCATCTCCCTGGCCCCAATGAGACAGTTTTAAACCAAATTGGTAGGACAGTTTCAATAATTAACACATTGCATACTTTCTTCCTAGTGGTTAGTTGATGTACAAGATGCAGACATGATATCCTATTTACAAACACTATTAGAACAAATTCCTCTATTCATTAAGAGAATGTAACTAAATATCCCAACCACTTTGAATACACAGATACAAAATGGACATTCATCTGTATCCCCTTTTTTTGTTAAGTTCCGTTATTTGAATATTATAGGTGTGTTGATTCAGCAAAATATTCTAAAAGAGTCCAATAGCCCATAATAG